GGTGAGGAGTAGGATGATGCTTGCCACCCGAGGTCGTGGTGACGTCCAGGCCCCAGCTGCTGCCGAGGACCATGTCTGGGTCCATGGTCCTACCACATCCAGAGTCTATGTGGATATCCATGGTCCATGTTGCCATCAAAGGACACAAGGATCCCAGTGCCTGGACTGCCACCTGTGGCCATGTAGGTGTCCAAGGGTGGCCGCCAGATCCATGCTGATCTGGTTGACCTGTGCTGCCACCTGGGGCCATAATGTCATCCAGGCCTCAGCTGCTGCCCAGGGCCATGTCTGGTTCCATGACCCTACAGCAGCCAGGGTCCATGTAAACGTCCACGGCACATGTTGCCACCAAAGGCCACACAGAAGCCTGGGATCTGGGCTGCAATCTGTGGCCTTGCTGGTGTCCAAGAGCTGTGCTGGTGTCCAAGAGCTGTGCTGCCGCCAGAACCACACTGGTCTGGATGGCCTGTGCTGTCACCTGGGGCCATGGGGTCATCTGGGCCTGGGCTGCTTGCTGCCAAGAGCCTTGTCTGGGTCCACAGTGCAATCAGGGTCTGGGTTGATGTGCATGGGCCACCAAGGGCCATGTGGATATCCAGGGTCAAGTCGGCCGCCTGAGTCCATGTTGGTGTCCAAGGGCCATGCTGCAGCTGGGGACAGATCTGAGTAGCCTACGTTGCCACCCAATGCCATGATGATGTCCGGGCCAAGGCTGCAGCTGAGGGCCTGTCTGGGTCTATGGCCCTACTGCAGCCAGGGTCTGCGTTGATGTCTGAGGTTCCTGTTACCCTCGAAAGTCATGTGGATGACTGAGGTCCAAGGCCATGTTAGTGTCCAAGGGCTAAGCAGCTGCTGGGGCCTATGCTGATCTGAATGGCCTGCACTGCCTCCTGGAGCCGGGATGTTGTCTGGGCCCAAGTTTCTGCCAATGGCCCAGTCTGGGTCCATGGTCTAGCTGGAGCTGGGGTCTGTGTTGATGTCTGTGACTTGTGTCACCTCAGGGGGCCATAGGAGCCGTGCCTGATGAAATCAGAGGGCCATGCTGAGCTGGCCCTGCCCTCTGCTAGCCTTAGGAAAACTGTCCCTGACTCTCAAGGGACACTGCAGAGAGTTGGTTTTGCCCTCATGGGAGATCTGGCCCCTGCACTCAGGGAAGATGGCCCCATCCCTCACTACAGGCGAGGGAGAACTGACCCCGATGGCATGGGCATAGGGGAGCTGGCTCTGCCCCCTCACCTGAGGGAGGTGGCCCAGTGGTCTGGACTGACAGGCGCTGCTACCACCCAGGCCCACAGCCGGCCCTTGGGTTGGCCTACCCTAACATCTACCCCATCTAGGACCTGCTGGAGCTCATGAAGGGACTGGTCCTGTGGAATGATACCCAAAGGCTCTCCATGATTCAGGGCAGCCACCTGATATCCCAGAGGAGTTTCGGTGAGGATCCAGTGATGATGGTGGACCAGAAACCAGAAGCCTTGAACCAGACCAATGACTCATTGTAGTGGGTAGCCATTCCAGCTTTGATCTGGAAGTTCCAACCCCCATTGAGACTTCGGCAACTGTCACGGCTACAAGGCGGGGCTAAGGGAGGCGCCTGGGGACCCGAGATCTGGATGGGCGGGCGCTCTCTCTGTTGCGGGACCCTGGACTGGAGAGGTGGACCGAGCAGAGCTCCAGAGAACACCGCTGGACTGTGATACACCTTCCCCAGACTCCGTGACCTACCTATTCCTTAATTTGTAAGTTACGCCATTAAATAAATCTCCTTTTAACTACGTGGAGTGGCCTTAATAATTTCACCAATAACTCATTGTAATGAACATTTGCTAGTAAGGCTGATTTGACAAAAGGGTCTACCACACCTCCCAATGCCACCAGGACAAATGAAGAGGTGGGAAAGATGGAGGAGTGAAGAGGTTTTTTGTTTTGTTTTGTTCTTGTTTTTGTTTGCTTGCTTGCTTGGTTTTGTTTTGTTTTTATTTTCTTTGGGAGGGGTGCTGTAGGGACAAGGTGAGGAAATGGGGGTAGTGGGAGGTGAGTGGAATTGGGGTGCATGATGTGAAATTCCCAAAGAATCAATACAGAAATTATGTCTAAAAAGAAGAAGGAAATACTGAGCTGGAGATGTCGCTAAATGGCAGTGCGTTTGCCTGGCTTGCACAAGCTCATGGCTTCAATGCCCAGCACCATGGAAAAAAAGAACACCTTTAAGTGATTTATAATTTATGGTTAAGGGAGCGTGTAATAGAATAAGCCAACAATAAATAGTCTGCTCTGGTGACTCTGCTACAAACGCATATCCATCTCCAGTAATGACTAGACAAAGTGCTACTGGGAATAATCCTGCACATTGAAGGCACTGGAGTTCTTCGCTGGGATCTAAAAACTCCCTGACTTGAGAATTGCTCATCTAGATGGAACATGCTGAGTAGCTGTGTTTTGGAGAATGGTTCCTCTGTGGAGGTATAGAAGGAAAGCTGACAATGTGTATTTGGCTGCAGTTAAAACTTAGCAAATGCAGCTGAAGGGGGAAATAGCCTTGAAGTAGACCTTGTGATCTTTACAAGGAAGGTCAAAGTTAGCACTTCAAGAAGTTTTGAATGGCCTTGTGCTTTGAGCAAAGATTTCATTCTCCCAATGTATAAAATATGGAAGAAAGTTGGGACGTTCCAAGTTTAGTGCAGGGATTACAGGGCACCTGGCTATTTAAAATAAGAACTTGAATGGAAAAAAAATAAGGACATGGCTGCTCCTAGGTATGGTGGAGGAGAAAGTTTATTGTAGATAAAAGGGAGAGCATAGTCAGAGGCAGGGACATCTGGGACAGTCCACAGTGGACATGACCAGGCTGAGCTGGGTCATAATGTGAGAGGAGGAAGGTGAGGGGAAGGAAGGAGGAGGGGAGAGATGGGAAAGAGGTGCAGCAGCCAGGAGGCCAAAGGTACAACAGGAGTTGGGGGGAGGGGAGTAACCAAAATGTCTGGATTATATAGTGAAGAGCCTCTGGGGGAGGGGCAGCTCAGCCCCTGGCCTGGAGAACTCAGGATAGAGGGCAGGGTATGCCAGTCATACTATGTAACAGGTACAGACTGGGGGATACTGGGAGAACCTGGAGGCCTGGTCCAATTTGATATGTTAAATAGGCACCTCAGCCATTTGTCCTGGGTTTGAAACTTAACAGGACTCAGTTCAGGTCTTCTACCATGTGTGTTTGCTTGGCTCTGACTCTTCTCCATGAACTAGAGTGGGTTATTTGCAAAATATATCCACAATTGGCTAAAAGAGTTATCTGGTAGGATTAATAATTTCAAAAGCTTATTTTGTTAAGAGTCCATTCCAGGCTTTAAGCTAAATGCTTTATGTAGATACTATTTTAATTCTGGTAGCAATCTACAAGACGTGTGCCAGTTGTCCATTTTAAAGAACAGAAGGTTGAGGGTCATCAAAACCAGCTTTCAACGAGCTCTCCAGGTGACCCGAGTGCTCTGGGAAACACCGTGCTGCAGAATGTGACAGATCTCATTAACTAGGCCCTCAGTACGTGTCACAAGCCACTAGGTTTCCTCTACATCCTTTCTTTTCACACTACATGAGCTTCTTACCACTGTTCTGTAATAACAAAGAAATACACCAGAACCCTCCCATCCTGATTTCTCAGAAAACAGATCGAGTGGTTTTCTTGTTTGTTTTTTTTGACAAACTGAATTAACCTCAAATTAATTATTAATTCAACTCTCCAATGGGGAGTGGATGAGCAGGCATTATGAAAAACCTCAGTCCTCGTCTATGAAAACCAGCTAAAATTTGAGTCAGAAGACAGAGACAAGTATATCCAGGATTGCACAAGGTTCTGTTTATTAAAATGTTATGGACAGACGCATGTCCTAGGTGGTAGCAAGTGGGTCTCTACACTCCAGGTTTAGGAGGAAGAAATTTATGGTAAACAAGACAAAGGTGAGTGGAAGCTAAACAGTTAAAAACTAGTCTAGAGTCAGCTAGATGGCTCTGAGGGTTAAGGTACTTGCTGCCAATCTGGAGATCAGACTCCCCACAGCTTATCATCTGACTTACACACACACACACACACACACACACACACACACACACACACACACACACACCAAAAAAAAAAAAAAAAAAAAAAAAGAAGAAGAAAAGTTTGGCCATCAGTTGTAGGTAGAGTTTTCCATCTAGACCTCCAGTTCTGTCCTGCCTGCACTCCCCAAATAACGAACACAGAGCTCAGGCTTATTACTAACTAGCTCTTACAACTTAAATTAACCCATTTCTATTAATCTGTGTGCTGCCCCAAGGCTCATTTACCTCATCTATGAACTTTTCATCGAGACTCCTGACTCTGCCCTCCTTCCCAGCATTCTCTCTGCCCCTAAGACCCTGCCTAGTCATTGGCCAATAGACATTTTATTAACAATAGGAGCAATACATATTTACAGTGTACAAATATTGCTCCACAGCAACCAGTACAACACTGCTTGGCTGACTAACTTTTTTTCCTTTAAGGTTTGAGATGCATATCGGAGTCATCAGCAGACAATATGATAATTACAACAAAAATAGCTGTAGTCATATCAAGCTTGATCCTTTAATAAAAAAAAAAGTTTAATTTGTTATTTAGGACATCCCCAATATAATCATTCATTCTATTCAAATGTATGAAGTTAAATCCTATTTTTAGAAATTATTTTTATTTAACACTTTTTTTTTTGAGAATTTCACGATTTCTGTATTTTATAATTTCTATCACCCCCTCTCTTCCCTCTGGCTCCTTTCATGTTTTAACTCCCTTTCAAATCATGACACCATCTCTGATTACTGTTGTGATTATTACTGTGAGGCACTTGAAGCATCTTCTCAACTACATCCCATGAAAACAGGACACCAGATAGGTTCTCTTGTTCTCTTTAGATCTAGTACATACAATGTCTCAAATATAACAGGAGTTGGCAACTTTCTGTGAAATAAGTAACTGTAAGCCAAACTTAACTAAATTCCTTGAAGTTTCTTTTATTAGGTGAAAGAATCCCATTGTCAAGACATTTTCGTAAATAAGCAGATAAAATTTCTTTTTAAATGAATGCAAATCAACCGGATACAACGAAATGTCTTAAAGCATTGCTGTTGTGACACTCGTTCTCAATCCTTTTCTGCATCAGTAAAACAATATATTCTCACATAAGACATGCTCACAGGGTATAACCAGATTATTGGTCTGACAAAAAATGCTTTATTCCACAGGAGATAGCTCTAACTATTACTATTTTCAGAAAGCAACTGTGAATGTGTGAATTATTGTTTAGCTCCATAAGAAGGGTCTTATATCTTTTTCTTGTTTTTTTGTTTTGTTTTGTTTTTTTTTGTTTTTTGCTGTGGTGCTGTGGCTCAAACCTGGGGCCACCCCAGGCATTACATTTTACCTTAAAATTTGGAACAGGGTCTTATTACATTACCCAGGCTGGAACTCAGTCTGTGTAAGCTCAGACAAGCCTTGAACTTGAGATTTCCTTACCCTACCCACCAGAGCAGCTGCGTAGGACTACGGGTCTGTACTACCAGTCCCAACGAAACTCTTGTTAATTATACAAATGTATTAGGACCCATCCACTGATTCTGTTGTTAATTTTAAAAAAAAAGAGTCCCATTAGCAAAAACTCTATGACCCACTACTGACAACAACTAACAGCATCATAACCCAAAATGATGCACATGAATTAAAGGACCACTCACCTGGTCAAATGTAATCTACTGCAGACTGCAGATGAGAAATGTTAAGACAATATAAGCAGACAATTGAAATAAATTAACTTCATCATATTAATCTTTTCTACTGATAACATCCACAAGAATTCAATAAATGTTCAAAACAATTCTGTATAAAACTAACATGTGAGGGCTGGAGGAATAGCTCAGTGGTTAAGACTGAGCACTGGCTCTTCCAAGGGACCTAAGTCAGATTCCCAGACTCACGCTGGATGGCCCAAACCACCCAGAACTCTAGCTCCAGGGCATCAGATATTTCTGGACTCCATGGGTGCTCACATTCATGCATACATGCACAGCCACATACATGTAATTAAAAATAAAATAAATCTTTTTTTAAATTAAAAAAAAACTAACATGTGCCACAAAGCATCTTTTAATAAGTGTTTTGTTTCAGTTTTCCACAAAGCACAGTAAAAATTCCTGGAGTGCAGATGTGAATAACTACACTTGACTTTCCTTTTATTTATTTATTTTTATTAAAAATTTCTGTACAGTGATACAGTGTTTGAAACAGCTTCCTTTTCTGGTTCCTGTTAAAGCTTTATATTTTCAAATGTCTACAGGACATGTGCTTACATGAGTACTGAGTATCACACCAAACCACACACACGTGACTTTAGCAGCTTTATTGCACAATGATCCAGGTAACACTGCCCGTTCTCTTTGTTTCCTATGTTATAAAGTGCTAGATACATGGGAGAGGAAAGACAGCCACTAAACACAGGTTCTCTAGATCTACCTACACGAGTGGGGAGTGTGTGTCAGTGGTGGGTCTGATGCAGTGTGATTGGCCTAAAAGACTTCCGTTAAAAGTAATTTTTAAAAAATAAGATAAACAGCTTCCAAAAATTTTGTTTGCTCCACTAACATGTTAACATTCCCTAAGTGATCAGTGTAAGTCTTAGTGTCAAGAAAGACATTTTAACTTTTAAAAAGGCAGTTCAAATAAAAATCATCTGCTTAACAGATGATTTTGGTACCTAGAAGATAATCTTGCAGAAACCAACATCCAATTTAGAAAAGGTGTCATTCTTCAAACCGAGTATGCACAATCCTTTTCATTTCAGTTTCTATTTCTAAATAATTTTACATTTTACTGATTCACACTACAAATGTTTATGACCACGCAGTGAGCCACGGACAATGCCACCCAACTAGACAGTAGGAACATGTAATATGTCTGGTATTTTAATGCTGTTGAGACGGACAGGGAACTTCTCAAATTTGTAAACACAAGCCAGAGGAACCTGATGTGTAACATCTGTGCCAAAAACACAAAACTCACAAGACAGGCAGTCACGATCAGTCTATCCTCAATAGCAGTTCTGAAAAATAAGTCTTTGCTATAAATACAAGTATTTTCTGAAGTAAGAAAATTTGAAGATAAAATTTTCTGGGGAAAAAAAAATTATATTGCGGTGAAAAGTTGCATGGGTTCAAGAACCTTGGGTTTCCTATAAGAGACCATGCTTGCTACATATGCCAAAGAAGGAGCATTACGGCCCAGGCCACTCTTAGAGATGTCCTTATCAATAAATACAGTCTGTGGTCTACACGAAAAGAGAACAGTATTGATTTGCCAGGCAATATACACTCAGTAGTTACACACTTTAAAATACATAATTTTCTACTTAAATATACTACCATTTTATGGCCTTTGTCATTTTACCTGTCTATAACATCATTTTCCTATTGACAATAAATCAAGACACATGACAGGGCTAATTTATATCAACAGGCATTTAAAAATATCTTCTCTTTGGACATGAACATGATATAAAAATGGAAAGGAAAGAAAAAATAACAAACATAAAAACCACAATAAATACTTTGTATGCCACCCCAACCCCAAAACAAAAGGAATGTACATAGTAACACCAGCTGACTTAAATAAATTAGAGTCCCTGTGCCCAAAGAGAAGGACAAGCTGTAAATTTAGCTATCTGGGACTAGCTGTGACAAAATGTTTTCATTCCCACCATTTGTAAAAGGCAGAATAATGACATGGACAAGACAAGGCTGTGAAGGCCTTCTGAGTTTTCAGAATCATACATTAGCTGGGTCTGGTGGTGCCCACATATAATCTCAGCCCTCTGGAGCCTATCACGGGAGGACAAAGTTTGAGGCCAGCCTGGGCTACATAGCAAGACCCTGTGTGTCAAAGCAAAACAAGATAAAACAAAACAACCGCACACTACAAACAGGTGTGGTGACAGAAGACGTAAACGATATGTAATTAGTTACGAAGACTAACACCAAGGCATGGCTTTGTTCACAGTTTTCATTCTCGCCACATGGGGTGTCCGAGCTACACGTCCTCTTCATATTCCAGATACTTGGCTGTGATGGGTTCTTCAAGCTGAATTCCTCCACTGCCCATTAAGGCAAATGCTGGATACATCGTATGTGAACAGTCCACCTGGCGCTCGTACAGGCATTTCATGTGATCCATATCATAGAAGCTGACTTTGCCTTTATCACAGTCAAGGAAAATCCCTATACTTGTTGGCATGGGAAGAACTCTATTTTCGGGTTCATTAGAAGAAGTAGGTGACTTGGGTATAAAAAATTTCTTCATGCCTATAGTAACTAATGTAAAAGGTTGTGAAGAATCGAAACAGGCCTCTTCGCTGCCACTGTCATGCCCGCTGTCTTGTTCATATCTACAACACAGTAAACACAGCGAACAAAACAATCTTACTTAGCTCTAGCCACAGTCTCCCAGTATCTCTAACACTCCCCAAAACTAACAGATACTGTTCTAAAGTTAACATACACAAAAATGCAGCGAACAAAACAATCTTACTTAGCTCTAGCCACAGTCTCCCAGTATCTCTAACACTCCCCAAAACTAACAGATACTGTTCTAAAGTTAACATACACAAAAATGTGCTATTAACACACATAAAGCATGCACTGCAAATTGCCATTTAGAGTTGTACTATTTACTCAGTACCAAATTCCCTATAGTGCCATCCATTTTTACCTAGATGTATACACAAATGGAAACCTTAAAATGCATTTCTACTAAAAAAATCAGGAGGGTGAAGGGCTTGATTTAAGATTAAATATTTATGGTACACAATGCTATGTCATAAAATACAAAGACCTACACCCTCATGCATGGGATTAATAGACTAAAGTAATAACTTTCAAAAGAATACAAGATAAGAGCATGGTCATTCTCCTCCATACAACCCTATTTCCTGACTGTGTTCCCACATCAAGAAAGAGTAATGAAGTTGTTTTTCCCTCTGTGAAACATGAAAAGTCATAGAAAATTCTAGTGCTGTGAAAGAGGCAGTTAAAGGCATTTCACTGCATGGGTAGATTTAACATACCCTTTAGGAACTACGGGAAACTTTGAAACTTTAAGTTCTGAAGCTGAATCATGATCAAGAGGAATTCAAAAAGGACTACTTCCCTCATGGCAGCAAAAATTAAATGTTATTCTGTGAATGAATACAAGACAACCTGACTCCTTTTCTAAAGCAGCCACATGACAGAGCCAGTCACTCGAATCTAAGAAAGGTATGTTCCAAACATAAGGAAAGAGTCCCAGACTGTTCGGGGTGATCGTGGGCAACACTGCTATTTACTTTCAAAGCCGTTCTCAAGTTCTCCATCAAGGAAAGAACCTACCTTGGACTAGCCGCGTCCCGGGGAGACCGCAGCCACTCTTGCAGCTTGTCACTGGAGGCAACGCCCACTTTGACCAGGTATGAATATGGTTCTACACGGCAGGCCCAGAAGTGTTTCCCTTTGGTTATTCCAACGTCTCCGATGATGTAGTCGAGGCTTGTGTAATAGCCCACTTGGATGCGTTCTGCCGCCAGAAGGACATTAAATCCAGCCCTACTCTCCACCCGGTCTCGCTTCAGGTTTAGCAACAGGTGCTCGTTATTATAGCCACACTTTTCATCAAACAGGAAACTGAAAACTGAATGGAGGTTAAAATTATTCTTAAGTAATCTGAGCAACATCTACAAGCATTTCTGTAATTTAAGGCTGAATCTGATGGCTTTCAAATAGAAATTAATTACTGAAGATATGCAAAGATGACGCCATTCTCTGCCAGATAGCTGCATCAATCCAGATTCCAATGCAGTGGTAAAGTTCCAGTATATTCCCTATACACGAAGAGCTTCAGAAATATCCAAAGCAGAAGCAAATGTTCTAGATACTTGCAAACACTTCTGAGTGCATACCTTGGAATCAGCAATGTTAATTACTATACATAGAACATACTTAATCACTCATCTTTAAAAATATTCATTTTATTATTTTTAATTATTGGAGGGGGGTTATGTGCACATGAGTGCAGGTTCCCATGGAAGTCAATTTAAGCTCCCTAGGAGCTTAATCTAAGAGGTGGTATATGTTTATAAATATTCCAAATTTTATAAATTTGAAAATTTAAGATCTTTCCCTTATTAATCAGCACAGCAGATATGAGAAAGGTGGTACTATCTAAGAAGAGAATCATGGGCTTTCAGTTCAGAGAGGTTGGCATTTAACTCAAACATTTAAGAAAAGACTGATCTAAACTCTAAACTTCCTCATTTACAGACTAGAGCTAATTCAACTATTATATGCATAACATTTATTGCTAGCCAATGCTGACACAACAAAAATTCAATCAACAAAATAATGGATAAAGAAAATGTGGAAGATGTACAGTGGAGTGTTAGCAAGCCCTGAAAAAGGAAATCCTGAAACACACTACAAAGTGAACAACACAAAATAAACCAGATGCAAAAAGATAAATACTGCCCAATTCTGCTCTTGTGCAGTACCCAGATAGTCACACCCTCAGAAAAAAAGAATAGAGGCTTCCAGTGTCTATGGGGAGAGGGGTGAAGAGCTGTTTAATGGGTACAGATTTTTAGGTGAGGTTTAAAATTTTTTTCTGGAGATGTGAATGATGATAGCTGCATAATGCTATGAATGTACCTTCTATCACTAAACTGTGTGCTTACAACGGTAAATCTTATCTGTATTCTATGACATTTAAAAAAAATGGCTACCAGCAAGCTAACCCCAGGCCCCTATAGAGGCAGATCTTTCTGTCTGGTGACGGGTAATGTCCTAGCATAGCTGTTCAAGATTCTTTTCCATCTCCAGTATCCCCTACTTTGTACAGTCATCTAAACAGCCCCAGTATTTACATGGTCTCTCTTGGAGAGGAAGATAAAACTCTTCGCATGCCCTCACCCCCTCCTACACAGCTGCTATTAAGGACAGCGGCCGTGTCCAGATCCATCCTTCTACTTTCAGAGGCCAGAAGTTGAAGACAGCGTTCAGTGTTAAATGTCGACGGAATACTTGCACGTTCAACATATCTATTGGCTTCAGCAAATCAAGAAAAATCATTTCAGCCAACCCTATATATTTTTATATTCTAATATTTTTAAAAGCCACAATATACCTGGAAAGCGTGCACACGTGCACACACACACACACACGTACACACTGCTTCTTTACACTGGACAAGAGGAGAGAGGAAAGCAGAATTCAGAAAATATGGATACATAAGACATTAAACAGGGGTAGAGTCTGTGGTCTAAAACACTACTGAGTGGTGGGCAGGGCGAAATGCTTTCCCACTACGATGACCGAGAACAACTGTAGTTCTAAGTATCCCTCATCTATGAAGACACTGTAGTAGACACCAACTACTCCGCATGTCCTTCCTATCCAGTAAAGCTCTTCAACCGCTCTAAAGAGGCAGGGTAGCAGGGACCGGGAAGCTCTCTGTGTGGAGGGAAAGCTTGCTGCGTGGTCCCCATATATGCCTCCCACTCTCGTGTGCAGAGAATCACACGGGGTCAGAAAACTTAGGCAAGTGAGACCTAGATTAAATCACACCACTGAATTTTAAAAATAACTATCAATAACCTGTATTTTAGACATTGTCATTAACTGACCTTTTAAAAAGTCCCAGAACCATGCTATTGTTTTATGTTTGGAGTTTTTTGCTTTGAGACAGGGTCTTATCATTTTGCCCTTGGCTGGCCGAGTACTCACTATGCAGACCAGGCTGGCCTCAAATTCAGAGATCTGCCTGCTCCTGACTCCTAAGTGCTGAGATTAAAGTCATGGTCCACCAAGCACGTGCAGTTATGCAATTTTAAGTGTTTAATGTAGCATTCATGTCATTTTTATACTAAGTTAGCCCCAAGCATTAAAAAGCCTGTGTGTGTGTGTGTGTGTGTGTGTGTGTGTGTGTGTGTGTGTGTGTGATATCAGTCAAAATCTAATACAGCTTCTGAGGTGACATTTGGGGATTCGGGTCACTTCTAAATCTCAGCCAAGTATGAAGTCTACTTGTCCAGAGTCTTTTAAAAGCACAAAGCTGGTTCCAGTGTCGGTCTGTCTGCATGAAGACACTGCCCGTTTACATTCCAGACCTCTCCCACTCTACCTCTCGGCCGCACTGTTCCCCGTACCTGGAGCTGGAGGCGTGTGCAGAACCAGCTCTCTGCTGCAGGGGCTGCAGATGGAGCCTCGGTAAGCTCTCACTCGGAAAGCATAATGACTGTTGCTTTCCAGGTTGGAGACAACTTTACTTGTGCCATGCACCTCTATCTCATTCCACGGCATCATCTCTTCATCTCTGTTAATCTTCCGGTATTCGAGAACATAGCTGTCGGCCTTGTCCTTTTCTGGCTGGTGCCAGTTTATCAGGGCGTTATTATACACTTTACTCTGTTCCTCGTTGATCTCAGGAATGTCTATGCCTGAGAGAATTAAGACACAGAACACGACGTTAAGATAGAATTTCCCTCAGCAAAAATGAAGTACTGACAGTTTCTGTGGTATCCAAGAAATTCCCAAATTTATAATACTATGCATAAGAAAGATAGTAAATATAAAATACAGTAAATTTGTAATTATAATTGAAGTGGGAAAAGTAAGTGAAAAATAATACAAAAATTAAGCCATGATTACAGCATTAAGTGGTATCATTATTAATTCTAAAACACTGGAAATTCTATTTTTAAAAACAGACTTTCGCTGAGCAGCAGTGGCATATGCCTTTAATCCCAGCACTCAGGAGGCAGAGCCAGGCGGATCTCTGTGAGTTCTAGGCCAGTCTGGTCTACAGAGCCAGGTCCAGGACAGGCACCAAAACTACACAGAGAAACCCTGTCTCAAAAACCAAAAAATAAAAAGAATTTCTTAGACAAAAAACATAGACTTTCCCCATAGTGAGTTGTGACTCTGGAGTTGAAATTTTTATTTATATTTACATAAACCATTTCAATACTTAAAAGATTAAGTAATTCTATTGAGCATTTCCTTTAATATTTTCTAATGTAGACTTGCAAAGCCAAATACTTTTTCTTAGTACAGGCATGAAGTATAAATCAGCTGGCCGGGTGGTTCAGCTGATGACGTGCTTGCTACCCAAGCCTGAGTCCGCGAGTTTGTGTCTCCAGCACCCACGGAAAGGCTGGCTGCAGTGGCCCCTAACACAGGCTCCAGGGAGGCAGACACAGATCTGTCAAGCTCACTGGCCAGCTTGTCTAGCCATGTCAGTGAGCTCCAGGTCAAATGAGGGACCCTGCCTCAAAAGAATAAGACAGATAACCGAGGGAGGCACATGGTACTAACCTCTGGCCTCTGGTGTACACACACACACACACACACACACACACATGCACACACGAACACACGCACATACACATACGTACAACATACACACCAAAACAATAAGAAAACCAGAAACTGAAGTAGGGAAAACCCACAAAAATATTTAGACAATTTCAAGGTAACCACTGCACCAATTTCATTTAGATCCCGTCAATATTTTTCTGTAATATTTCACTGTATGGATCAATCAAGATTTATGCATTTGGGAGAAATAGGTTTCTAATATTTTGCTAAAAGTACAATGTTTAAAGCCAGCCATGGTAGCTCACACTTGTAAGCTCCGGCTTAGGAAGCAGGAAGATGACTGTAAATACAAGGCCAGCCTGGGCTACATAATGAGTTGCAGATTAGGCTATAGCTTCTCAAAAAAAGCAAAAAGCAGGCCAAAGTCACAGCTAAGTCCATGTGCACTCACATATCCTTTCCTCTACACTAAACTCGTAAACTTGGCATGCAGTAAGGTCTCAAAGTCACATGTATTCTGGGCATGACAGCACATGCCTATAATCCCAGGCTAGTAAATTCAAGGTCATCCTCCGCTCCATACTTTTTGTTCAGCTTGTATAAATTATATATCCACAAACATACACTCTCACACACACCCCATTTACATCAAACCACAGAGGAGGAAATGAACTAAGGGAGGTGCCCTGCTTCTTTTCACTTATCCCACAGCCTGTCACAGGCATATAAGGAAGTCTGACAGTGCATTAACACACCTGGAGATTATACAGCCACGATACGATCTGAAAACCTATCCAGAGTTTACTTTAAAGTTACAACATGCAACAGGACCAGTCACAGGGTATGTCGGTCGCATGTTCTAAGAGTGAGCATGGAGGAAAAGTGAAATACATCCACAGGCAGGAAATGGGAGCTTCCTCTCTCCTCTACCTACCATTCATTTTCTTGGTCCTTTGCTGTGTACTGAGCACAGCCCATGATTGTCCATAGTCAGGTCAGTCTTACCCTTCCAGGGACAATGTTTGGATCCATGCTTAAGACTCCAAAGTAAGCTAACATATATCTAAAAACAACTGATGTATGCAGAATCAACAGTCTAGGAAGAAAAGTCTGCACTTGAAATAACACCTAACACCTACTTGGAAAATTTAAAGTCATAATAAGTCATACCAGATTCGGATATAAATTTAAAAAGAAAAGATGCCACAGAAACCCACAGTTTTTAACTTTTAAGAAGAGAGATTTCCTTTTTCAAAAAAGATCTTATTTTTTTTTATAGGTTTTAAAGGTCGTATGTTTGGGGGCCAGGTATGTGTGCAGGTGCCCTCGGAGGCCAGGAGGTGTCAGACCTCCTGGAGCTGGTACAACTGACTGGCATTGTAAGTCACCCGACAGAGGCGTGGGCAGTTTAACTAAGGTCCACAGCAAGAGCAGCCCCTGCTCTTCACTCCTGAGCAGCTCTCCAGCAGCAAGCCTGTGATGCCTCAACCTCACGAGAAGAGAACTCTCAGCCAGGCAAATGTGGTGAGATGTAAGAACAGAGGGAAGCCCCCCATGAGGGTGTTCCCTAAAAGTTTATGTGCCGAAGTCATAACCCTGATTGTGACAGCAGTCAGTCTTCAGAAGATGACTGTATTTAGAGATTCAGTCTTCAGAAGGATATCAAATTAAGCTGAGGTCCTCACAGCGAGTCCTAATTCAATATGGCTAGAAACATAGAAAATACCTTAACCCAGATTTCATGTACTAAAAAATAGCATAAGCTTATAATTTAAATAAATGTGATGCCATGCACACAACATTTAAAAAGCCAGGGGTACAGTTTAATGCCCAGAAACACAGGCATAAAAACCAGTCTAAGGTTCCAGGATAGATGATCATGAGCATCGTATGTCAAAGGGGAGGGGGTGTGTTTCTGCAGCAGGCAGGCAGGTCAGGGAGGAGGCACGGCCTTCACTTACCACTAGAGAAAAAGGACAGTTCTCCGAGCACCTCTGTCTGTTTGGATGTGTTAACCACATAGTCTTCAAATGAAGCCTGGGCTGCGGGTCTAAAGCTCTTCAGAGATTCCGTAGCTTTCTGTATTCTGTGGGCAGACACATTTCATATAAAAGCCATTCTTTAAAAAGACAAGTCAGTCTAAACACCTGCAATGTGGCATACTAAAGAAATGAACATTGCATTCAGCACCCAGGATGAAGCAGGCCCAGACTGCTTGTGAACACCAGGAACTATCTGGTGGGGGCTTTCAAAGGCTGAGGAGCCCAGCGAGTACCTGAGATGGAGCTGCTTTGCTGTCTGCACGAAGCAAGACTGATCTGTCTCCTTCAGCACTTCCTGCGCATATCCAACAAGCCCGTTGTTCTCCAGAAGGCCTTGGTACTCTTCCACTTGCGTGTGAAATTTGTCCAGTCTTAGTTTCTTAGAGGCGTCTATGGCTTTCAGAACAGACGACTTCCTGTCCTCCAGGATGTCAAAGAGCTTTTCAAAGTGGGCCAGCGCTTCTTCCTTGGCCCTCTCTCCATTGCACTAGTGGGAAACACACAAGTGTCACCGCATGCGTGAACCCCACCTCTCCATCGCACGAGGAGAGAGTGCAAACATTACCTCGTCCATAAACCCAAAGGTCTTCTCATGATGTCCTATGCGATATCAAACTCAACAAAACAAGGCTAGACGTTGCAAAGAAAAAGTTCTGTCTGATCCTAAAATCTTCAAAATCATAGTTTGGCATCAAACAAAGAACTGTCAGTTTCCATTTAGATTTGCTTCATAATCTCAAAACTTCGTATTTTCGAAGTCCAGTAACAGACAAATTGTTCAATTAAATGAGAATTTCAGTGATAAAATAAACCTATGGCAGAATTAAACTGATTTAACCATAAATAATAGCAAAAGCACAATTCTAGAGAGGTTGCAACTCACCTCAAATTTGGAAGTCTTTTTAAATACAGGAAGCTATTCTAAAGTTAATAGAACTTTTAAAAACAACATTTTCAATATTCCTTCTAAGGTATTTAAGATTCATTTGCTTTCATCCTTATTCAGCCATGTGCTATAGGCTAAACTGAGGCTAAGCATAAGCTCCAGGTTCAGTGCCTACCCCTCTCTGTCTCCCACAAAAAGCTCTTGGATAACAGAAATTATTCAAGTTCTCATGAGGATTAAGAAGGGTTATTTACATAAAAATCAGACCATATTGCCACATAAACATTCTTATTATGTAATTTTTTTCTTTTTTATAGAACAATCCTGTCTGTAATGTGTATTAAACATGTTCATTTGGGTTTCTGTTGTTTGAAGCAGTTTCTTTATATAGCCTGCGCTAGCCCCAAGGGCAATCCTCCTGCCTCACCCTCCCTAGTGCTGGGATTACAAGTCTATGTCACCCTGCCTGGCCCAAATGATTTGAATTTTTATAAAACCAGAGCTCGGTATGATTCTGAAAAGAAGAGTCCAGTGAGCACTGATGAGTGCTTATCCTAACAGACCTAACAGCATGTCTGCAGGAACACACATGGCAAAGGGATGCTTCAGAATCCCCAGCGGCTTCTGGACCACATGAGAAAGGGATGTTGCTCAGATTCCCTTGCCCATTACTAACCCTAAAAGTCCCACTTTCGTCTCTGAAGGTTTGTTTGTTTTTTTTTTAAGTAACATACAAAGTGATAGGTTTTATCAAGATATTTTCATATTTACCACAATACTTTGTTCCAGTTCAATTTTTAAAGGAAAAAGTCAGAGGACAGTAAAATTCAGTTAGAATTTCATGATAGTTTCCAGATTGAGCTCAGAAATACTATGCAAAATTAACAATTATAATTGCAGACACAAAAACTATCCCATCATCACTGAGGAAGAGTTGAGGATGGAGACAAATTTGGCGTTAATTTTTTTTCCTTATTTCTTCTGCAGTGTTGGCAATGAAGATCGGGATCCAGACCTACATGTCTTGTACACATGATGCAAATTTCCTACCACTAAGATACATCCTTGGCCCCTGTTGTTTCTTAACTATTTCGCTTCTTACTGGGAAAAAAAAATATTTCAAGAAATAACAGTCTTGTGCTAGCCTAGATCATCTATATTTAATTATAAATTTTAAAGTGATAAAGAGGAAAAGAAAAAGAAACTCCACTCCACATATTAAGGCCTATTTAAAGTACTTGAACTGTCAAATAACCTAACCCTGCTCATATTTACTATATTTCAAAAATGCTATTATTTATTATGATTTTTTTGTTTTTATGTTTTACATTGTATTTACCATGTCTCTCCTCTCCCCTCTGCCTCTCTCTCGTCTCTCTCCTCTCCTCTCCTCTCTCCTCTCTCTCTCTCTCTCTCTCTCTCTCTCTCTCTCTCTCTCTCTCTCTCTCTCTCTCCTCTCTCCCTCTCTCTCTCTCTCTGTCTGTCTGTGTCTATGTGTGTAGGTCAGAGAACTCAAGAGAGTTGATTCTCCCCCTTAACCAGAAATTACACTCAGGTAAATCAGGCTTGGCAGCAAGTACCTTTACCCAGTGGGTCATCCAGCCTGCCCCCCTTTTTAAGACACTCTTATGCAGTTCTTTAATTTTTATGTAACCACTATTTTTATGGCCTTGAACTCATGATCTCTCTGCTTCCATTTTCCAAGTGCCAGGATGCTAGCTTACTTCCCCTATTTTTTTTAAATTGAAGTAGAATATAATGCACATGTAAGTGTAAAGGTGAGGACTCATTAAATAACAGCCAACGAGCAGGACATTCAGATAAAAGAACATTACTGGTACACCAGACGTCATCCTCATAAGCTCTACAGTACTGATTCGCCCTCTTCAAGGATTGCTTCATGAAATTTTAAGATATAATCTGGTTTCACTGTTCAGCTACTTAAAAAATATTTATTTAATGTATTTAGTGTGTTTTGCTTACATATATGTCTGTGCACTGTGTAGATGCCTGGTGCACATGGAGGTTAGAAAAGGGCATTGGAGCTGGGCGGTGGTGGTGCACACCTTTAATTCCAGTACTCGGAAGGCAGAAGCAGACGGATCTCTGTGAGTTCGAGGCCAGCCTGGTCTACAGAGTGAGTTCCAGGGAAGGGCAAAGCTACACAGAGAAACCCTGTCTCAAAAAAACAAAAAAAAAAAGAAGAAGAAGAAGGAGAAGGAGGAGGAGGAAGAAGAAGAAGAAGAAGAAGAAGAAGAAGAAGAAGAAGAAGAAGAAGAAGAAGAAGAAAAAGAAGAAGAAGAAGAAGAAGAAGAAGAAGAAGAAGAAGAAGAAGAAGAAGAAGAAGAAGAAGAAGAAGAAGAAGAAGAAGAAGAAGAAAAGGGCATTGGATCCCCTGGAATTACAGATGGTTGTGAACCACCATGGGGGAGCTGGGAATTGAACCTGAGTTCTCCAGAAGGCCAGCCAGTGCTCTCAACCATTGCTAAACCATCTCCCATCCTGGTCTGGATACTTTCTATAAATGTCATTACAGCATCACAGCATTACAGCAGGATATACCTAAGCTATGTGTACATGTAGCTCCAATAGTCTCATTGCTATCTGTACTCCTCTGTTGATGGACCTTGTGGCTACTACAAAAAGGCAAGCATTACCACTCATTTCGATGTGAGCAAGCAAAGCAGAACATGTATTCAGCAGTATCTGGAATTTTAGATAACCCTGGGTCTGTCACATACAGTAACTTTCCAAAGGCTATCTGTCATTTGTTCGCACGCAGGTCACTGTTGAAAGCTACCCTTTCCTTATGACTTCTGGGCCCTTGTTACTATCACATCCCAATGACACCTGGGCACTGAGCACACAGGAGTCTATGCTGCATATGTTTCCACAAGTTCTAGGAAAGCAGAGGTGTGAGGTCACACAATCCCCAGCTCGGGGAACACATTCAGGGTTATGAACAAATAAGCAATCGTCTGGACAGGTAAATGAAAAACTGCTGACCACTTTGTAACTTACCTCTGTTTCCTTCATTAACAAGTTGAGTTCAGAAATCTGACTCTTCACTTGGCCTTCCTTACCAATAAGGAAATCAATGTCCTTTGAAAGCTTCTCCTGTGGAAACACACAGATACATAAACACAAGTACATAAACAAACCAACAAAGACTTCATGCAATTTTGCAAATTACACAGTATCCATCCTTCATCCTTCCTGATGAAGGAACAGCAAAATCAGCTATAGTAATTACCTTGAGGTAATTATTTGCTGGCCTGAAGCGTATAGGCCCAAGGTCATAGGACAGGTTAAATTAAGGCTGGAGAAAGAGAGTACGTGCTACTCAGCCAAAAATTCCAAATGCTCAAGTAGTACATTTGTGTTTAATTACCACTCTCGGAATTCTTGCTTCTAATGCTTCTAAGCAAATTGAAGTTGGCAGCTCAAATAGTTTAGCCTTCCATTACATTTCACAATTTAAACACACACACACACACACACACACACACACACACACACACACACACACGGCAGGAAAAACACCAAGGACTAGCCCAAAATAATCCCAGCTCATCCCAGTCTCGCTATTGATTCACTATACATAAGTGAAAACAGATTTTTGAGTAATTTGTTTGTAAATTAGCTATTCTGAACACTATAATTCCTCATAGAAATTACATTGTAGGGTTCGGTAAAAATCTCTTGGTCTAAAATGAATCTGAAGTACATTTTTAATGCCCCTTCAGAGCACCATGGACTACCAAGTCACGGGGGATAAATGTATTAGAGTCTAAATGAAAAGTGAGAAGACCCAGGAAACCCCTCCCTGAACGAGAACACGCCAGGATCCTGCTGACTGCTGAGCACCTGAAATGCAAAATGTGGGCAGGAATAGAGACATCGGCTCGGTGTTGCAGAGTCAGGAAGTAAGTCTGCCATCTATTCATCTTCCTCTTTTTTTCATCTTACACTACATGAGAGGCAAAGAGGATGTGTGCAGGGATAGACATGATTGGCTCGCAGGACGCATCTCAGGCTCAGAAGCCACCAGATACAGTAAACCCCCTGGCAGGGCTCCCTGGAGAAACAGGAAGCCGCTGGCTGGAAAGGAACAAGACTTCTGGACACAAAAGACAGAATGGGGTGAGGATCTAGCTCAGGGGGAGAGCACTTGCCCAGTACGTATGTGCAAGGCCCTAGGTTTAATCCCCATCACCTGCATCAACCAATCAGTCAGTCAATTAAAAACAAGAGCCAGACAGAGTTGTACAATCCTGAAATCCTAGCACTTGGAAGGTAGAGGTGAGAGGGTCAGGAGCAAGGCCTGGGCTCCATTAAATCCTTGAGAGAGACAGAGACAGACAGACACACAGAGACAGAGACACAGAGACAGGGACAGAAAGAAAATTGGACCTTACAAGATATTAATGCTGCGAGGAGACAGAAAGTCTTTTGTTTTGACCTAGCATTTTACCCTTCTAAGGAACCCAAAGCTCATGAGGTACAAATACTACACAGTCAACGGCTGAACCAGGAACCTAGTCAGAATTGAATAAAGTAATCACTGTCCAGGGTAGGGGGTGTTCAACACCACACTGCAAGCCGAATGACAAGTCTAGCACTGTCCCTATGAGCCCACGCTGGGACCACAAGCAAGAAACAGCACCACTGTTTCTTCTTAACTACAGTGACAGAGCTGCATTCAGCCACTAAAACTGATATAGGTATTCTAAAACAGCTTGAACTAAACGTAGAGAGCCTAAGATAAACGGGGTGACCCAGCGGTCACTAAAGAAGAACAGAAGGTGGAATTGAGAAATAGGGACCAAGGCAACATCAGTCACTCACAGGACTGTTAACACTCAAAGTCTCTGGCCAGTCTTCTCTGGCTCCTGGCCAGACCCTGGCAATCTGTTTTTAAGGACTGGAGGTGTCTTAATAGTCAGAATGTCTGTTCATAAGCTTGCAAAAACTGTAAGCACTAGATATCGACACTAGGCACTAGTAACAGAGGTAAAATGTGAGCGTCAAGGCTCCAGCCTGCAAGTTCACCTAACAGGGCAAGGAGGTTTAAATAAATCTAGACTTGAGTGCTTTAGAAACTCATCAGAGGCCGCACTCCCCAAAGTTACACAAGCCATAACTCTCCCACCAGCCAAGCTGCCTGCAACCCCAACAGAGGGCTCAGGGAGACAGCTGGGGTGGGCTTTTCAGTGGTACAGCTGCCCGAGAGTCACCTGTAACCACAATAGACTCATTAATTCACCAAGCTGGACTCCAAGAAGATGCTTGTTCACATCTCCCCAAGAAAATCCATGCAACGAAGCTAAGACCCCTTGAAGTAGGACAAGGCTGGTCTCTGTAACTGTACCAATGAAAGGCTAATCCCCAGCCAAGTTTGAGAACCATTTTTCCCTCTATATATCAAATCTCCAATAAAAGGTACCAAAGAAACACTAGTAAACAAAACAAAGGAAAAGTCATTCAACAACTGTGTCAAAGTATCTTTCATGCAAGCGGTCTAGGAGAATAATGTATAACTAGCATGGCCCCTGTGCTCAGCTGATACCAAGTTTAAAGGTGATATCAACTCTAGAGATGTTCAGAATAAAATCTGGGGAAGAATATGTGATCTTTTCTGTGCAAGTCTGCTATGTGAATCCACAATGATGCATATTCCAGCTACTGTCTTAAGTTATTTTCTCCTTGATGTAATAAAATAACAAAAAGACAAAACTCAAGGGAAAGAAGGTTTATTTTGGTCCAGTTTGAGAGGACACAAGTTCATCACTGCAGGTAAGGGCGCAGCAGCCAAGGCAGCCAGGACATTCAGGGCTGTGGCAGCAGGAGCCTGGCTCTGTGTTGATGGACACGAAGTAAAGAGCTCTGCTAGAACCCACATGGGCTATAACTGTTAGGCCCCACACTTCCTCCAGTTCGGCTTCATCTCCTAAAGGTTCCACAACCTTCCAAACTGGGGGAACAAGGCCGGGCGGTGGTGGCGCACGCCTTTAATCCCAGCACTCGGGAGGCAGAGCCAGGTGGATCTCTGTGAGTTCGAGGCCAGCCTGGGCTACCAAGCGAGTCCCAGGAAAGGCGCAAAGCTACACAGAGAAACCCTGTCTCGAAAAATGGAAAAAAAAAAAAAAAAAAAACAAACTGGGGGAACAAATGTTCAAACACATGAGCCTGTAGGGGCATTTTACAAGCAAGCCATAAGCACCACCATGTTGGTTAAGACCTTCGCTACCAGCACTTACAATAACGATGAGCACTAATCTACTTCAGAGACTATGACAACAATGTTCACCACAAACTATCCCCCCAAAAGGCATAAACTGTGTCTCACACTCCCTAAAATACAAATGCTATCCCCAAGTACTTCCCTATGCAGTGGGGATTGCTTACAGGGATGCTTGCATTTTATAAGTTCTCATTGTTAACAAGCTGTCTGACAAGACGTCCTTAGAAATCGATGGAAATAATAAATGGAAAACTATCAAAAATTCCTCAGGAAACCTCCTTCAGTGACATGCTCACAGACTTCTGTAGCTGTGGTTGTAGAGTGATCAAGCCAAAGTAGGAATAAGCCACATCAAAAGTTTAACAAGAAAACTGTACAGTGAGGCGAGAAGCTGAGAAAGCTCTCGAAAGGTCTTGACTTCCCAACAATGGAGAGGCTTGGTGACTGAGAGATGGCCAGACGAGGAGACAGGCAGTGAACATGTGTCTTTTCAGGACACACCAGAAATCAAAAAGCCTAGTGGGCCAAAACAGTGACAGGAAACAGTGAATAGGAATCCCTGTGGACTCTCTAGAGTCCCCATTCTGGAAGACTAAGAGCAGGCAGCCACAGCCTGCTGTGGGGAAGAGGGGCTCTACTTTGAGCTCATGCACATGTCAACGTCAATATTAATATAAGTCAATCGAGTCACAGGAGGGAACATATCCTAGCCTCACCTAACAAAACTGCTAAGAGTAGATCATTCTCAGATCCAGGTATTAACTGGTTAAGCCAGTTTCTCCAAAAGTGCAAGCTGTTTCCAGAATTCAGAACACACCTTCCCAAACAACCTGACACACACTATAACACAGATAAGAAACCTGGTGTTTACCTCAGCAGATTCGGCAAACAGCAGACACAAGACAAATGCAAGGTTACCCTTCTATGACGTTCATTTCTCTGATTGTAACACCCAGCTGGCCCCAAATAAGAAATGATGCTGTGGCTTTGCATCATGTAGCCAGTCCCCTTCAGCTTAAATCTAACACCAGGTGTAAAGGAGACTTGTTACTCTTAGCAAGTGACAAATTTAGACAATTAGTTTCTTACTAAAAAGTAAGTAAATTGGAAAGTCTGAAATATGTAAGAAAGAAATTAACGTACAATGTAAAAGATAGCTATGTTATTATGTGTATGTTCTTCATCCAGTTTCCTGACATACCTCTCCTAAAGTCCTTGGTTTCTAAAATGATTTTTTTTTTTTTTTGTAAGCTAATAAGTCAAGAGGCAGCTGGCTTCAGGGTAAGAGCTGGTCACCAAGAACACAGAGGCATGATTAGACAGCTAAGATTCAGTCCTACCTCACAACTTTCAGGGACAAGAAGCCCAAAGTGGAGGATCAGTAACTGCTAATGACTTAATCAACTGTGTCTATCGACGAGGCTTCCATAAAAACTCAGAAAGAGTTCAGAACTTCCATGCAGAAGAGCCCTTGGAGGTTCTCATAGAGTGCCAGAGGGCAATGGCAGCTTGTGCCCTTCCCAAATTCCTCATCCTGTGCATCTCTTTATCAGCACCTGTTGCAATATCCTGTATGATAAATTGCTGTTTGTGTTTTCCTGAGTTCTGTGAGCCTCACAAACAAAATAATTAGACCCAAGAAGGGTGAGCTAAACTTCTTTTTACAGTCATGTGATCAAAGGCAAAAAATAAAAATTAAAAAAAAAAACCCACATGGAGCTTGCAGCTGGCATGTACAGTGGGGCAGAGGGAGGCACAGGCAGCACTGGGACCGGCCCTTCACCTGCAGGGTCTGAGAGCACATTCAGGTACCGTGTCAGAACTAACTGAATTAAGAGGATCCCCAGCTTGCATCTGCTGCTATAGAATCCACTGCCTGCTTGCTGATGTCATGTGAGGTCACGGAAGCCTTCTGCCTAGGCACAGTAACACACACCTGTAAATGACCACTTGGGAAGTGGAGGCAGGAGCATCACGGCAAATTTGAGGCCAGCCTGGTTTACACAGTAAGACCCTGTCTCAAACAAACAAACAAACAAAATGTCTTTTGCGTTGATTGTTGTGGGTTCTGAGAGCAGAGAAGAAACATGGATTCATGGGTAATTTTTCCAACACTTTACTCTAGTGTCAAAGACAGTAAAAGTAATAAAAACTGGAACAGATTACACAAAATTAAACCAATTAGAAATCAAAACTCCTATACATGTGATAAATTATAAATTGTGCTATGTGAAGCTGACCGACTACAGAGGCATGATAAAGTGACAATAACAGATTTGGCTTCCCACTTGAAACATCTGGAATCTCTCTTGTTATGCGCCAGATCCAAGAGACATTTCCTAGATGGTGGGAAACAAGAGACACCTGACTAGCCTGTTGTCTGCAGTTGCTAGGGCTGGAGGCAGAGAACTCAAATGGACCTCAGCGTCTCCTGTGAGCCTAAGTGATGAAGCTGGGAGTTAAGGAAGTCGGGGTTTCTAAAGCCTAAAACCACAGAGACAAGCAGAAAGAGAAAAAACTGCAGAGAGGTATACAAGACTGACCACCAGTCAACCATGCCTGAGGTCAAGGGAAGTTCCAGAGAGGATTAAAGTTCACACAAGCTGGGAGTAACGTGCTCCCCACCCTCCAGACTTCCAACCCTGAAAAACAGAGCTTCTAAATCATCAGGGACGGAGAAGAATCATCAAAGGTTTTTATCTCCAGAGTCAGGCTGATTAACCTAAAACCAAATGCTTCCTTGCCCTGCCAGGAAAAGCTGAAAACAGGGTATAACTAATAATACCTGATAGCCAATCAAAAACTTCCAGCTGGCTAGTTTCATGTCAACTTGGCACAAGCTAGAGTCATCTAGGAAGAGGGAACCTCAGTTAAGAAGATGCCCCCACCAGCTTGGACTGTGGGGAAGCCTGTGGGGGCATTTTCTTGATTAATGATTGGTGTGGGAGGGTCCAGCACACTGTGGGTGGTGCCATCCTCAGGCAGGTGGTCCTGGGTGCTAAGAAAACAGGCTGAGCAAGTCAGTTAGCAGGGTTCCTCCATGGCTTCTGTTCCAGCTCCTGCCTCCAGCTTCCTCTCCTTGAGTTCCTGACTCCTTCAGTGATGGACTGTTTATCTGGAAGTATAAGATGAAACAAACCCTTTCCTTCTCAAGTTGCTTTCGGCCATGGTGTTTCATCACAGCAATAGAAACCCTAACTAAGACACCAGGCAAGCAAAGGGGCAGAGAAATAGAAGGTACAATGGCCAAACCTGTCCATGACACAGATATACGACACTATTTATGTATGCAGCTACACACATAATCTGCACATACACTGTTAAAGAAAGGGAGCAATATAAAAGGGATGCTTGAGGATGAATGAATTCCTTTAAGACGACCGCTTATAGCAAAAAAGGAACGGAATAAAGCGAGCACCACAGCGCTGCCTCCCCTGATACTGAGGACCAGATCTGAGCATGTTCTGAGCCCTTCTACCTCTGCACCCAGGACAGTAATGTACACCGAGCTCTCTGGAGGATCCTAGCAGTGGCCCGCATTCCTTCACACTTCCAACCAGCGGTGCAAGGCTTTAACACACTCAGAAAAACTAACAATCTTAAGTTAGAGATTTTTTTTAAAAAATAATTTGTAATTATTTTAAATATGTGGAGTTTTTTATAATTATTATACAGAATTATGTAATAATTATATATTTATATTTACACATTTATATATTTTATATATGTAATAAATTTATTATGCATAGTAACACATTATATGTTATATATAATATAGTTTATGTAGTATATTTATATATTTAAATATATATTTATATATAATAACTATATAAATATATATTATATATTATAAATATATATTTATTCTTATATATTATGATTACATACTTTTTAATAATTACACATTAAGGTTTACCTCATACTGTTAACTCCTTTCAGTAAAACAGACCACATTATAAAAACTTAAGAATCATGAAATCACCAGGTATTAAAACCTACTTCCAGGGCTGGCTCAGCAGTTAAGAGCACTGGCTGCTCTTCCAAAAGACCTGGTTTTGATTCCCAGCACCCATAGTGAGGGTGACAACCTTCTGTAACTCCAGTCCCAGGCATCCAACGCCCTCTTCTGGCCCTCTGCAGACACTGCACACACATGGTGCACAGACATACTTTCAGGTAAAACATCCATAAACATTAAATAAAATGGACAAATTGAAACCCACTCTAATATCCTAAGTTATACCTTTAAGGTTTTGTAGGCACTGCTCATGGTGGTCACTCGGTGATTGGAGTGATTCCCACCCAACTTACAGAGGTGGCAAACCGGCCTTCTGCACAGTTCACAGTACATGTTTATCCTCTCTGTCTCGTGTTCGGGGCACATTAAAATCTATTGAATAAAAGCATACGGACAGTTAAAGATCCAGGTTCACGTAACCTCGGTCCCCCAGCACAAATATTTGCTATATAAAATCAAGAGCCATATAGGTGAATAAAAGTATAAAAAATAAAAATATGTCACATGAAAACTGTAGAATTACCATTTTTAAATCTTTGGGTTCAAACCGCTAATACATAGATGTTATTTCCCCTAAACTTGGTGAGAAGAACATTCATTCCAAGAGGACTCAAGTAGAGAGAATGCTTAAACAGGCTAGAGAGGTCCTCTCACCACACATTAGGCACTTCTTACTGAACATCTCTGTAAGGTATCAGAAAACCTTCAGAGAATCTCTGGCCTGACTCCCCATACAAGCCTGTTGCCAAGAGACCTCTGGAGGGCTTTGTGATGTAAGCACCCAGCAGGCCAGCTCCACAAGCCACACTCACTGCCCAGCAGCATCTCCCGAGGAAACACCACATTTGGACTTACTAGTCTATGAACTAGCATCGTAGATGCATTTGAAATTGTACATAAAATACTGTTTCCATTCAGAAACAAACATTTAGGTAGTATGCTGATGAAATCAAATAGTTGTTCATGGTTTCAAGAGACTGGATGATAGGCAACTTTAACTGGTCTGAAATATTAGGGGGGAAAAAGACCAATATGCAAAGTTTACGCTATATCTTCAGGGGGACTAAAGTGGAAAAAACTTACAATGTTTCAGAATGTCTAAGTTCCTAATTCTCAGAAGAATGTGTACTTTTTTAAAGTAGAAAAACTTCAGCTTTCCATAGGAAGGGGTACAACAAGTTCAGTTGTAGGTGAGTATTCTCTAGCATAAGGGACAGCTTTGAGGCGCTACACTGTACTGGCTGACACAAATGCTTGAAGGGAACTATTTTTCCTGTTTCTGTGGTTTCCTCAGCAGTATTTTATGACTGATTTGCATTCCAAATCCTAAGAAATACTTATAAGAACCCAGTCCTGGTGTAGCTCATTATCATGTGTCCTTTCATGATCGAATAGTATTAATGCAACCTTGTAAACAAAACACTAAAAAGTCATACATTTTTAAAAATCAATGACCTTCAGCAGTTCGGGTGAGACAAACATGATAACAGGGAATTCAAAGGTTGATAAATGTTATGAGACAAACAGTTTTGAGAAAAAGGGTCTTTCAGAATGTAGGGACAAAGAAATACCTTTGTTTTCATCTTTCAGACCCGTGTTATGTAAGAAATGTTCGGTGAGTATTGTGTAATGACTTCTCTAAGATTTTAAATTTTATTTTAAATTATGGGCATGTCTGTGTCTGTGCTGGGTATGTGAACACTAGTGTTCACATTAGGAGGACAGAAGAGAGAACTGGATCCCCTGGAGTTGCAACTACTTACTGCTGGCTGTGAGCAACTCCACCAACCCTGGGTGGGAACCAACCCTGGGTCCTCCGTTAAGGGTAGCAGGCAAGGGGCTGGAGAAATGGCTCAGCAGGTAAGAGCACTGGCTGCTCCACTAGAGGACCGGGGTTCCATTCCCAGCACCCACATGGCAGCTCCCAACTGTCTGTAACTCCAGTTCCAGTGGATTCAACTCCCTCACAAAGATATGCAGGTCAAACACCAATGCATATAGAAGTAAAAAAAATTAAATTAAAAAAAAAGTAGGCATTCTTAACAACTGAGCCATCTCTCCAGTTCCAAATAGTTTTTAAGATTTACATATGAAATTATTACAAATTAAAGGCTTTATAATTAAGAATACTGTTGTTATATTTAATAACTGACACTATTCATACGAGTTACTAAATTATAAAGAAAAACAGCTTTATGCCAGGTGGTGATGGTGCACACCTTTAATCCCAGCACTTGGGAGGCAGAGGCAGGTGGATCTCTGTGAGTTCGAGGGCAACCTATTATACAGAGAGAGTTTCAAAACAGCCAAGCCTACACAGAAACCCTGTCTCAAACCAAAAAAAAAAAAAAAAACTTTATAAGTATCCATGCTGGGTGGTGGTGACACACAAATGATTTTACTCATCATAGACCACAGAACATGGAGTTCTTGTGAGATTAATTACACAAATTACCCAGAATACTTGAGAAATGTAAAGTCCACCTAACAGATTATATAAGCACTATGTCTCACACTTTAAAGTTATTCTTAACCTACAGTAAAGTTTTAGCTAACTAAAAATATCACAATCGTGTTATCCAATCAAACCTTCCCGTCTCTAGACTCCTGGCAATTTCTCCCACGATGTCTGGTACCCTAACTTACCTTGGGTCTGAAATTAGTGGTGGGGCCCACATACTCGTGCTGGGCTTTGACAGTCCCCCAAGGATGATAAATTTTGAAGCATTCGTTGCAGTAGCTTGCACTGCAGTCCATGCAGCTCTTCGTAGACTCCTGGGGTGGTGGTTTACACAGGTCACACATAATGGCTGTGGCTGCCCTGGCGGCCTGCCGGTATCTCTCGACAATCGTTTCCAAAGTGAAATTTCGAAACAGACCGCTGACTCCTCGCTCTCCAAGATCCACATCATGCTCACAGCCAGGACAAGGAAACATAGTCGGCCTTGGGGTCAGGGAATTACGCTTCCAGCCTGTGTAGTTAGTAAGGCTTCATTTAGTAACATCGTAAGTGATTAAAATGAAGAGTCATAGCTGGGTGGTGGTGGCACACGCCTTTAATCCCAGCACTGGGGAGGCAGAGCCAGGTGGATCTCTGTGAGGTCGAGGCCAGCCTGGTCTATAGAGTGAGATCCAGGACAGGCACCAAAACTACACAGAGAAACTCTGTCTTGAAAAACCAAAACCAAAACAAAACAAAACAATAATAAAAAAGAAGAGTCATGTTTTAGAAAGTTTCTACAATCACAAATATTCCAAGTGGCTCCATCTGCATTCTGAAAATGCTTTTCTAAGCAAATATTTTTACTTGGTATAAAAAAAAGTTCAAATTATTAAAAGTTATCATAGAGAAAAGAAAAATAATCTATAATAAATTACACATAAACCTGTATTAAGCTAAACACAGACATGAAGACAAACCATCTAATACAGTACTTTGTAGAGTATTTTATATAACTAAACTTCTAGTTAATTTTATACATCATCCCCAAAGTCATAAAGTGAATACCACCACCTTAGCTGACTGGGAAGAAACAGGGGTACGTAACAGAGCAGGAGCCCTTGAGCAGGGCCCAGGCTCAGCAAGCTCAGTGCAATCCCAGCGACTGTCTGAAACTGCAAGCTGTCCACATACACACACGTGTGTCTTCTGGGTAGTCTGGACTTTCATCACATGCTTGGAGGAATAGGTGCTCACAGTTTTAAGAACCATCACAATGGACTGTTTCCCACTGTAGTACTGTTTATCTGGGAAAGTTCAGTGGGAAAGACCAGAAGGTAACTGAATGCAAGCTAAAGAAGAGCAAAGAACTCATTCATGGACCTGGAACTTAGTAACTTTAAAAGGGCCAACCATGGGACCTGAAACAAAGAACCATTAAGATTATTTACTTCAGTGCCAAGATGCATTCCATGTGACTTTGTAATATACAAAATACAAGTAATGACCTTAAACATTAGATTTTTCTGCTCAGTGTTGTGTCTCTGATCTTCATAAGTCAGGAAACCAAAGTCTGCCATACTCACCTGCTGGTTCGGACAAATGCACAGCTATCTGTCTGTTCAACACAGGTGGATGGATACTTACTTCAACCTTTCTTAGAGTATGAAAGCTCAGTTGGACACAAAATAGCTTCCATAACACACAAAGAAACTTCTTAATCTCCAGCCTTCTTTCATAGTATTATATCCAATACCAAAAATTAATGGGTAAATTCAGTATATTCTATTTGAATATACAAAGGTCTTTAAGTAACTACCTTAGTATTGCCCTTGAAATGACTGTTGTCTAAAAAAATATATATCTTAAAACATGCCTGGTATGACATCACAACAGGTGAAACTTAACAGATAGCCCAAAGTATTATTTATAATAATGACTTTATAGCATGCAAAGTGCCACTGAACTCCAAAAGCACCTTATGTAACAAACATGCACAGTATTTTTAATATTTAATATTATTTCCATTTAATGACATTTTAGCCTTAATATTTTTAAACATGAATCATATAAAAGGAAACTTCCCACAAACTTGAAAATCCTACTCCATGTTTTCCTGTAGTGATTTTAAAAACATGCAATCCAGTCCAAGATGTTTCACACCACAGCAGGCATATAATAAAATAAGCGCAAGGCTAATTAAAAAATAAAACAAAACACACACATGCCAATGAAAATGTTTTTGTCAAAAAACCAAGCCAAACAATTCCAGAAGTCAAATGATGCAGTGGTCAAGTTTAAACAAATGGAAATTTGCATGTAATTACATCTACCTACAGTTAACTAGATGATGGACCTTTAAATGAATGAATAACCAATCTCAGTTGTCTATGTGAAAAACAATGACCTATTATAGATTTTGTGAAGGTTGTGGCCAATTAAATAGTGATTTGAAACAAAATTAATCATGAAAACTAAATCATGCTTTAACATGTATGCTGGTGACACCCAAACTTTGGTTGTTTTCATGTTTAGAAATGTTCAAAAAAAAATGTTCCCTTTCCTTTTCTGTATTCCTCTGTTACCTTAATTTTATGGTGAAAATAAAAGTTTTTATGAAACACCACACTAGACCTCTGTTGTTTTGGTTTTTTTTGTTTTTTTTTTCTGGAGCTGAGGACGGAACCCAAGACCCTGCACTTGCTAGGCAAGTGCTCTACCACTGAGCTAAATCCCCAACCCCAACACACTAGACCTCTTAAATGAGATCAAATGTGGAATTTAAGACCTGAGTAGTTTTCAGGGAACTTATTCAAATCAGTATCTTGGCTGTTTTTCTAAACTGATCCCATGAGGCTCTCAAATCTTTCGAATGCTAACTTTCATTTCATCTGTCATATGCCTTTACCGTGATTTTCATAAAATATTATATTCAGAGAAACAAAGAAGGCATGACAGCTCTAAGGCTATCCTGGAAAGTAAGCCTCATGAAAAAAAAAATGCAACACTGGACTAAAAGGAAAATGTTATAGAGTCAACTTTCAATGTTGGTGCTATCTAAAGGGCCATGAGGCCAAATGGCTGTTGAAATTTAAATTTAAGATGATTAAATTTTCACTATTTTGGTTGCAAGCTATAGTTCAGATTCTCAAGAGTACTTGAGGCTTAGTGGATACCACACCGTATAGTGAAGGGTTGAATATCTCCATTAGAGAAAGTTCTATTTACATAATCTTTCTCTACCACATGATAGAATCTGGGGAGAGGGGGACTAACCAGATGATGACTGGGAAGACTAAAGAAGTAATGCCAGCCAAGTAGCAGCCACACAACTGTGGAGTCCGTATTTGTGAACTATGCAAATACTCTCAACTCACACATCTTTGCTTCAAAGGCACAGTAAACAAATATCAAGGCACAATTTTAAAATATTTAAAGTATTTTCAAAGTGGTTTATATCCACCAAAAGAGCTATTTCTGTCTGTTTTATCATCCAACTTTCAAGGAGAAAAAAATAAATGCAAAGATAAATTTAAATATTTCTAAAAATTTTTAAATATTAAATATTTAAAAACAAATGCAAGAGAATCAACTCGTAGCACATTCCAAACTGCTGCAATTGTACCCTCTCCCATATTCTGGCCATAACAACTTCCTGTTCTTACTGCTTATCAATTGGTGGGATGCCACCAGTTGGACTTCCCAGAAAGTGAGGGGAACAGAAGAGGCGTAACATTTCTCTAACCAAAGAGTATCACCAGAATTTGACCAAAACGTAATCAATTTTACTTTAAAGGTCAACTGGAGTGAAAAGAAAAAAAAAAAAAAAAACAAGGTAGGCTGGAATGCTTCACACAGAATCACATATTCCAAAAGCCTAAAATGGGTAAGACCTGCATGTTAAAACTCTGATGGGAAAGAAACACTTTAAAACATGGACAACAAAGACAAGACATTATATCATAAAACATGCAGAGAGTGTGCTAACTACAAAAATGGACAACTTTAGACAAGACTTTTAATATTTAGTTAACCTTACCAATGCAGCATGTAAGTTACATTATAGTCTACACAAATGTAAAAAGATTTTTCAGGTACCAGATATGAAAAAACAAAATTGTGTTGTGTACGGGAATCATTTGGACACACACTCCTTAAAAACATCACAAGTTTCATCCTGTTGACCTTTAAGTCATGTCAATACAATTTGTTTACTTTTTATATAATTTGAAAGACTTGACCACTGGTGTTAGAGAATCTCTAGACACATAAGAGAATTGAAATCTAACACCACGCTGCCCGCGGCCACAAAAGCAATAAAGCGCTTTTTCTACCTCTCCACCCCAAAGATCTCCGCTGTGATGCTGTGAACAATGAACAGAAAGCTGGATTTAGAATTCCATTCTAAAGAGAATACTCACAACTTGTTAACAAAAGATAAAGCACTGACTATGTCCTGCAGAGAATACGATTATTGAATCAACAGTAAACATGTATTCTTCCCGACACACAGGGTGTTTACAAAGCCAGCAATATAGAACAGTCCATCAGTCTTATAGAATTTGGCTGCACCACTGTTGGGCAGGACTAGAGTGACATACACTTTGTCCTACAGATTTGTGGGTTTTTTTGGTTTTTTTGGTTTTTTTTTTTTTTTTTGTTTTTCGAGACAGGGTTTCTCTGTGTAGCTTTGCACCTTTCCTGGATCTCGCTCTGTAGACCAGGCTGGCCTCGAACTCACAGAGATCCACCTGCCTCTGCCTCCCAAGTGCTGGGATTAAAGGCATGCGCCACCACCGCCCGGCCACCACCGCCCGGCCAGATTTGTGTTTTTAAACAGCCTCATCTCCGGCAACTGTTAGAAAAACGAAGTAAATTCAAGTATCTTTTGACTTTTTGCTGAACTAAAAAAAAAGTAAGTTATAAAAAAATTATTAAAATTCAAAATCTCTGACAACAGGAAAATACAAATTGGAGGGAAAGATTACACACATATGATCAGAAATATACAAAAAACAGCTTTTTGTTTACATACCTGAACATGTAACTGACATATACACAGAAACCTTATTCTTTCAAAGTACCCTTTCATTAAAAAGTCTATTAAATGTGTATGGCAATATCATCCCAATGAAATAAATGAGCCACAGCACAACGTATTTTTAAATTGTCTAGTAGCCACAATAAAAGTTAAGAAACAAGTAAAATTAGTTCTGATATTATTTAACCTACTATATCCAAGATATCACCTCAAAATGTAATAAATACAAAAAGCCTTAAATCTCTACTTGTGCTATCCTAAAGCCTCTGAAATCTAATAAGCATTTCATATTTACAGAATATCGATCAGAAAAGTCCTATTTCAAGCATTTCACAGCTAGTGTCTACTATACTGGACAGCCTAGGGTCTAATCCTTTAGTAAAAATCAATAGCTTAGTAAAAATCAAAGGTAAAAAGTAATTTTTAGAAATATATTCCTTCCACATCCATTGCTATGAACAGGGTTTTGGACTTCCTTTTTAAGTGTGCCTTATCATTTTTGCCCATAAATGAAAGGGATATCTGTAATTCAGGGACACCAGGCTGTTTAAAACTTGTGACCATACAAAAGATGGCCTTTAAATCTGTGATCACCGACTCACAAACAAAGTCTTTAGAAACTGCCACATCTGGGACAGTCTCACCTGCCAAGCCTAAGGTTGATTTTTATTTCTATGGATGTGGGGAGGCTGTCTGCCCAGGGAGCTAGTGTAAGTAAGGTGTCAGGTCCACTGGTACTGAAGTTACAGGTGGCTGAGTCACCTGCCACGGCGCTAGGAAGCTTTCTGTAGTCATCCTTCTCCAAGTTAAACACTCTCAGCACCTGTAGCTATCCTCCACAGAGAAGTTTTCAAACACTCTCAACTCCCTGCTCAGGACATGATCCAACGGCAGAGTGATCTTACAGAATGGGGAGGGGGCATATTTTAGTCGTTTCCTATCTAATCTAGACAGTGGGGTATATGGTGAAACGAAATTCTTGTTCTCAAAACAAAACAAAACAAGTTCAACCACATTACACTTCAGTCCTGGTGGCATGCTCTGTTTATCCTAGTACCAGAAGGTTTTCATTCAACATCCACTCAACAAGCATGCACCAAGCACAGACAGAGTACTATGGGAAGCTCCTAAAGCACTGGCAGTTCTAATTTCATATGAACCGCACATGAGAATCAGTCAAATCCAGAGATGAAAAGACTACCTAAGACACAGAACTTCATGAAAAGTATATGTGAACACAACCCAATCATAAGCAGAGATATTCCACTAATTGTCTATGTTGAATATTAATACACAGAAAGTAAATTTTCCTCAATCAGCCAAGAAGGGGATTCCCAACTGGCCAATGAAGACCCAACAATAGAACATCAAGTTTTATCTGGTAAGAATGACTTCAACTCATTACTGTCTTTCTATTCCTTAAGGTGCCAGATTCCTAGCAAAGAGGAAAACATAAAAGTTATGACCTCACTATGAGCATAACCCTCTCTGTCCTCAAACTCTCTCATTTTGCCCAATTGACTTCACTGGTGCGCGCATGTGCGCGCGCGCCGCGTATATACACACACACATACATACACACACACACACACACACACACACACACACATACACAAATAAATAAATATATATATATTATATGTGCAAGTAATCTTTTAATAATTAGTGACTGGCATTCAAAGAAAAACCCATGGCCCAGTGGTTAAGAGTACTTATTGTTCTTGCAGAAGACCCAGGTTCGATTCCCAGCATCCACATGGCAGTTCACAACCATCTGTAGCTCTAGTCCTAGAGACTGCAAACACTCTTTTCAGACCTCCTCAGACACCAGGCACACACGTGGTACACAGATATAACATGCAGGCAAAACACACACGTGGCATACATACATAACACGCAGGCAAAATATTCATCAATATAAAATGATATATACATATATATGTGTGTGTAAAAGAAGTGTGGTATATAGAACATATAACTCAACTCTGATGGAATAGGTACATGGATATAAATACTGAACAAAGAGACTCCATTGCATAAGTCAGGCCACAAAAAGATGATACTCTTTAAATGCAGCTTAGAAAGAGATGCTTTTCTGAAAAACTCACAAAATTAAAAAGTAACCCCTGTCCTATCAGTGGGAGAAACTGAAGAGAGTACACAAGAGGTTTAAAGATGAAACCTCAAAGCCCAAATGGCTCAGCATGGACACTTTGAAGCCTGGGACTTCTGGACACTCACACACACTCCTCAGTATAAAGGCCATGCTTAATGAAAGGCTGTGGTCACCACTGATTTTAAAAGAATTTCAGCAGCTTCTGTAATTTTAAGTTAATTTTGATCTATATCATCACTGCAATAACTGTTCAGAGGCAACGCTATCTTGATAGGAAACAAGGTAAATGCTGAGCTGCAATACAGCAAAATATATGCTATGTGTCATTCGATTTTCTTCCATACATTACTGCAGAATTCTAGTACTCATGAGAGTCAGAACCCTTATTTTGGGGAGTAGGCAGGTTCTCATGCATCCCCAGGATGTCCTTGAAACCATAGATCTTTCTCCCTCCACCCACCCACCATGGGCTGGTATACAGACATGTGCCAACATGCCCTGCTAAAACACTTATTTAAAAAAGAGAATTTCAAGTGATTGAAGAAAATAAAATTCTCAAGTAGAGTGATACCACATGATCTGATCTGATCTAAAAGTTCTCTAAGGGCTGGAGAGATGGCTCAGCAGTTAAGAGCACTGGCTGCTCTCCCAGAGGACCTGCCTTTGATTCCCAGCTTCCACATGATGGTTCACAACCAACTATAACTCCAGACCCAGGGGATCTGACACCATCTTCTGGCTTTAACAGATACTGCAGACACATGGTGCACAGACACACACTGAAACACACACATAAAGTAAAACTAAGTAAACTCAAAAGATAAAAGTTTTTAGGGGCTGGGTATTTAGCTCAGTGGTAGAGCGCTTGCCTAGCAAGCACAAGGCCCTGGGTTCAATCCTCAGCTCAAAAAAAAAAGTTTTTAGAAGTAACCATTATGTAGTCCCTCCCATTCTTAATTCTGCACTATTTATTTGCACATTAACTTTATAGATGCTTCCCTAGTAGTTCAATTGTTCATTATTCTACCATTATCAAGGACATTACAGAGTTAGAATATCACCTAAAATAAAGACACAGTTAATAAGCAGTTTAGCACAAAATTAGTATTCGATAGCCATCTTAAGTGCCTATCAAAAAAACAACAGTTCATTTTGATATTTTAAATGGGGGCTAGTCTTCACTTGTTCACTTGGGGAAAAAATACCAACAATTTCCCTCCACAGTTATAGCTGAACCTTTATCTACAAGCTCTCCCTGCCCAACCAAGGGTCCAGCACCCAAGCTTTTCCCACATACCTGGTCTACTAATTTTGTCAATTTTATCCATGCTAGGAGAGGTGAGCCGAAGTCGAGGGCTGCTCTGATTGGAGTTGTCTGACGCCACATCATTGAATGAATCATCGAGAGACAGTAAGAGTTCTTTCACACACTTATGACAGACGCTGTGCTGGCAAGGGAGAATCAACGGGTGTGTAAACAGCTCCTTGCATGCTGGGCAAATAAGCTCCTTTTCGATATTCTTAATAGTCACCTTAAGATGAAAAGCAAAAGCCAGAGTCAAAAACTCTTAGTGGGTAAATGTGTCAGCATGTCTTGTGTACATATATGTGTTTGCTTTTCCAAAAAAGAATTAAGAAACAGACCCTAAAATCTAAATACGACTTCTGCCTTAGTTAGGGTTTCTATTGCTCTGGGAAGAGACATCATGACCATGGCAATTCTTATAAAGGAAAATATTTAATTGGGCCTGGCTTACAGTTTCAGAGGGGTAGTCCATGGTCTTGATGGCAGGGTGCAGACAGACACGGTGCTGAAGAAGGAAATGAGAATTCTACATCTAGATCAGCAGGCAACAGGAAGTGAACTTTCACACTAGGCGTGACTTGAGCACATATGAGACATCAAAGCCTGCCTCCACAGTGACATACTTCCTCCAACAAGGCCACACCTATTAGTGTGCCACTCCCTATGGGCCAAGCATTCAAACACGTGGTTCTATGGGGGCCATATCTATTCAAACTACCACAGCTATGAAATTCTATACCACCAGACTCCCTTGAATATACATGGCATGGGGTTAAAAACTCGCTGGGCGGTGGTGGCGCACGCCTTTAATCCCAGCACTTGGGAGGCAGAGCCAGGCGGATCTCTGTGAGTTCGAGGCCAGCCTGGTCTCCAAAGCGAGTTCCAGGAAAGGCGCAAAGCTGCACAGAGAAACCCTGTCTCGAAAAACCAAAAAAAAAAAAAAAAAAAAAAAAAAAAAAAAAAAAAAAAAAAAAAAAAAAACTGATGTTACCAGACAAAAGAAAGTAAAATGTAAGAGAAAAGGTTAATATAAAAATATTAGAGGACCATGCTCTATCAAAACTGCAGGCTGTTCAAATCATCAGGAACAAGTCCCTGATTTAGGACTCCAGTAACATTCTAAATGTGATCATTTTCAGTTAAAGTTTCACTATGACACCAATCATTCTTACTTAATGCATTAACTCCAAGACTGCCAACTAGCAAGTGCTGACAAAAATAAACACCCAGGCTAAGCCAGTGTGTTCAGGAAATCCTAACTGAATTCTATTTACAAGCTGAGTATCAGAAAATTTCTACATTAAATTTAACCATGTTTCATGTGCTTTCCTGCCATGCTGCTAAAATGCTTCAGGCTCTGTGCTCCACATCAAAGCAGTTATCACGAAAGCACAATATTAAAAGGGTGGAGAGGACTAAGAGACACCATCCTTAGAGCTTCCTTCAAACCTATAGGAACTCATTACTTCACCATTGTAAGTGAGAAACACTTTAGGCTCACAGATAAAAAGGGTTGATGACTTCATACAGTTTTCCCATCTATCACCTATAAGGTTTTTTTTACACTGGAGGGGTGGGGGTGGGCTTTTCAATTTCTATAGCTTACTGTTGGCATCCTGAAATTTTAATGACAAGCCAATATTTTTTAAAAAAATCTTATACAATCATTTCATCTATTAGAAATACACAAAAGTTTTTGGTTGTTTGGTTTTGGTTTTGGTTTTTCATGACAGTTTCCCCGTGTAGCCCTGACTGTCCTCGAACTCGGAGCCCCACCTAGCTCTGACTCCCGAGTGCTGGGTTAAAAAGTGCTCAGAAGGTAAAATTTAATTCACTTGTTTTAATGAAATAAAAGTGTATGCTAATCTACTTCCCCGCTGGTGACACAAAGGGCTTTAATAAGCCCTGATAATCGCACCACAAACAACTGGCTTCCTCACTGACAGCAGATCTTTAATGCAGTGTCTCTTTTTAAAAAGGCCCACAGCACGCTCTGACTTTAACGAACCTGGAAATAAGACGGCCACACCTACAACGCACATCAAAGATTACTCCCATTTTATCTTACTTTACCCAGTATCACGCTAATTCAAAGGGGAAAAAAAAACTGTCCTGACTGCCCAAAATAGATTCTTGTCCCGTTTAACATATAAACAATACCCTCAGTAAAGCTGCACCTCCTAGAGGAATATCTAAAATTCATTTCCCTTTTTTTTTCTTGCGCCTAAATCATTTGATTACACTGGATATAAAGTAATTCTTTCTTAAAAAGAAAAATCAATGTCTTTTTTTTTTTTATGTCCTTCGAGCTAAAACCAGGAGCAATGTGATTTGATAGCTCACTCAAGCAGAGGAAACTTAGGAGACGTGCCTACCGGACCTCCGCAAAGAAAAGGCTGGGACGGCCGGGCGGTGGTGGCGCACGCCTTTAATCCCAGCACTCGGGAGGCAGAGCCAGGCGGATCTCTGTGAGTTCGAGGCCAGCCTGGTCTCCAAAGCGAGTTCCAGGAAAGGCGCAAAGCTACACAGAGAAACCCTGTCTCGAAAAACCAAAAAAAAAAAAAAAAAAAAAGAAAAGGCTGGGACCGCGCCGCCGCAGGCGCCCCGTCCCCGCCCAGCGAGCCGGAGACACCGCTCCCAGCGGGCTGCAGGCACAGCCGGGGTCCAGGAGGGACTCGAGCGCCCCTCGGGGCTCCAGACAAAGGGCGGCACGCTGGGGGCACGCGCCCTACTCTCTAGCGCACAAGACACCCCAGAGCGACTACTTCTGCGGACCGAACCCCACGGAAGAGCCCGCCGTGGGGAGTCCACAGCGTGGCCAGGTGCGCCGTACCCGGACCCGCCCGTGGGACCCCAAGCTCGACCCTCTCAAGGGCAGAAAAAGGCGCGGGACGGTGGGACCGGCCCGGAGAGACGGCGGGGAGAGGAAGCGGGGCCGCTGCGCACCTGAGAGTCTGAGGCATCCCCTTCCATCGCAGCCCTCCGCCGGGTGTCATCAACCGTGGAGTCCCCACAGGCACAGCGGGCCCCGGCAGGGACTGGTGGGCGGGTCCCCGCGGCGGCCCGGGAGCCTCAGGTCCGACCGGAGGGCAAGCTGGTCAGCCAGATCCGGTCAGCGGCGAGGGAACGGGCCGGCTCGGGCGAAAGCACGGGCGCGGGAGAGTGCGGTTGTTCCCTCCGAGGGCCCCGGGAGCCGCGAATCTCGCCCGGCTGCCGGCTGCGGCGGCGGCTCGCGCGGACTGCAGCTGGACCGGCCGCCGGGCGGAGACAGGGGCGGCGGCGAGGGGCGGGGCCGGGAGGGGCGGGGCCGTCGCCCGGGCAACGGCGCGGCCGCACAAAGGAGGCGGGGCTAACCGAGGCGTGGCCAGTGAGGGGCGGGGCGGGGCAGGCGCTCGTAGCCGCCCCCTCCCTATGCTCTCACTAGGGCGCCGGGTCCCTAAATCCTCCAGGGTAGGAGGGGCGGCTCCGGGGCCGCGAGGGGCGCGTCCTGGTTCTGCGGCGCTTCTGTCCATTTTACTTTTTCTGTGGACGTTCGCAAAAGCGCGCGCGAAAACCCACAGACCAGCGACGCTCCGACGCCCTGAACTGAACGGTGGTGATCAGGGCAAGGCAGTCCCGCCCCAAGGCCAGCACGAGGTCCCTCCCCACTCCTGCCACCACCCCTTAGCCAGGCAGCCCTAAGGGGAAGTTCCCGAAGGGGTCCCCCCAGTCTCCTCAACTGTCTCTTCAACCTACTCTCCCCGCTAGATTTGTTTTTTCGTGACGTCACATTCCCCGGTCACTGAGCACTTGAGATAGGTTCCGTTTTCGGCTCAACCAGGGCTTGGTGCCGCACGCAACCAAGAAGCCCAGGGTCACGAGGACAGCCCGAGGGGCAGGGATTCCATCCCTGGGTCCTGGCCAAGGACTGAAGTCGAGAGACTGCGGCAAAGACCCCGCCCTAGCCCAGATCACCACCATCCTGCAGTTTCGCATCTGAAGACCGAGGACAAGGGGTCAAGAGATGCCCAGGCAGCCACGCCTCGAACGCACCGGCCAAGGGTCTAGATGGGCGCCTTTCATCGGCTTCCTTCGCAGTTGCAAAACAAGGTAGCCTGCCGCTGTCGGAGGCTATTTCACTAGGTATTTAACACCACTGCTTTCCCGATGGCTAATTTCATCTCTAGATATTAGATTGAAAGAACCTGTGTCCTAACTCCCGGTCAAGGGAGCACGAAGCTGCAGAGTGACATCTCTATAAGGTTTTGCAATGCGTCTTTCTTTTGATTATCCTGCTTGGAAGAAGAATGTCTTCTGCAGCAAATTCCGCATCTTCCTACAGCCCTGGCAACAGCGGTAGCCTCTTCGCCAACCCAGAAGTTAAATGACCATAGCAGTGTAGAATTAGAACGGCAGCAAGGGACTCTGCCCTCTAATAGAGTGCCCTTAATCTCCGGATGGTAAAACTAAGAGGATTCACATCTTGTGGGGGGAATGACTGAGCAGTTCCTATCCAGATAGGCGGCTCTGTACGCTTCCCTGGATCTGGAAAGTGTGTCTTAAGCATGAGGGAAAAGGGAGCCGCAAATGTCTGCACCCCACGCCACATCCCAGTGTATTTCTCTAAAATCTAGACCCTCACAAAGTATTCTAAGTCTATTTTTGTTTCTCATATTGACCTTTCTTTGAAGAATTCACATTAGCATGCCTAGACAGGCCTCTGGGCCCAAACTTACTAGATGGTAGAATAAGAGAAATCAGGAGGTTTCATTAGCACAAACTAAGGATAAATTTTATAGACAATATCTCGGTGAAAATAAATTTTAAGAGCCTTCCATTATACAAAGCAAACTTCACTGAGGTATTTCACATCTGGCCAGCAAAGTTTAAAACTTACATTATACACTTGACAAAATGTGGGATTTTAGGCACTCTCAAAAATATTTGAAAGGAAATTTATAAATTCCTATTTTTAAAATTGCGATACAAAAATTTGCAATACAATAAGCCTGGTGAGTGATTCATGGCTAAAAATAGCCCTACTTTAATACTTGAAAATATATATACAGAACAATACAAAAATCTTAATTGGACTTACAGTGACTAAATATTTTCCATAATGTATTTTATGCCACAAAATACTTTGTAGCAGATCCATGTGATGAGATAGAATGTCTGACTCAGGGAACATGCAGAAGAGGGGACCAAGGAATATGAGAGCTGGAAGATGGGGAGGAGTACTGTAAAATGCTGTCTGGGGACAAGACCTGGCTACTACGCCTGTGAACTCACTGTAGCTATGGCTACCTGTGCAAGATAAGTCACCAAGATCAGTCAGCATTTCAACAGGCAGAACTAATTGGGTTATTAAAAACCGAGGACATAATAGAGGCAAGGGGACATGTTGGGGGTCCCTGGGGGAGGGGAAGTTGGAGGAACATATGTCAAGATTCATTGTTTATGTATATGAAATTATCAAAGAATAAATAAAAATATTTTATTTAAGTATTAAAGATGTCTAAAATACAGTGAGGGTTTTTTTAATTGTTGAATCTGCCAAGCATTTATAGCACAGGCTTTTTATTCCCCTCACTGTGTTGCTGCCTCTGTGTGTGTGTGTGTGTGTGTGTGTGTGTGTGTGTGCAAGTAAGTATTTATTTAGGTAAATAAAAAAATGATTATTTCTCTGGAATAGGGCACAATAGATGAGCAGAGATAATAGGATGTGCTCAGGTATGTAAGGCTTACTTTCCACTCACATTGTATTGCTTGCACTTTTTAAATGTGTGTGTGTGTTAATTCTAAAACAGTTTATGGCAAATCCTATTGATCTAGAAACTATTAGAAACAGAGAGGGGGTGGTGTTAACAGCAAGTATGAAGTCTGCTGCTTTAAACCACCAGCTCCCCACTTCCATCAGCACCAGCATCCTCTTCATCTCTTAAGCTCCACCAACTCCCCATTCTTGGTACCCATTCACTCCCAGTCTCCCACTTATCAAAGGCACCAAGATCCTTCCTGGGTCCTCAGTTAAAATTCTCGGGTGGGGTTTTGTTATTCACATTGGTGTGTGTGCTTTGAGACAGGCCTGTTGCTGAGGTTGGCCTCAAACCGGTGTTTCTGCCTCAGCTCCCTGAATGCTAGGATTACGGGCATGTGCTACCTTGCCTGACTTTTGTGGATTTGTTATTGTTTGGGTTTTTAATACATTTTACATCTTCTTTACCCAGATCATAGTGTTTCTTTTCAGATGCTGTTCTTTCGTCTCAGGATGCCCCTCTGCCTGCCTCTCTTACATGGGCAGTCTGATGGGTAGTTAAGGGTGACTTGCCCGAAATGGAGCACTGTCTGGTGGCTCCATTTGCAGAGGGAGCAGAATGAGCTATGTGCTGCAACACAGCATCTTGTTCTTGGAAATTATGGCAGGGTTGGGGGGAAGGGTAGTTGTGCATGAGTGTGTGTTTCAGTGTAAGTGTTGGAAGACAGGAATTACAGGAGGGTGATAAACTTGCCATGACACAAAATGAGTCTGTGAATGTACTGAGGACTGGGAATACTAGCATTTATATATGGAACTTTTTAAAGGTTTTAAATCAAAAGTGTCAAGGCAGGACTGGAGAGATGGCTCAGTGATTAAGAACACTGGTTGCTCTTCTAGGGGATCAGGGTTCCATTCCCAGCACCCACATGGTAGCTCACAACCATTTCTAACTCAAGTTCCAGGGGGAGCTGGTAACCTCTTCTCTCCTCTGCAGATACCAGGCACACACATGGTGCACAGACATACATGCAGACAAAATTAGGAGCGAATTTTTTAAAATCTTTATCCCATTTTGTATTTTATAAGCTATCCTTTGCTCCTCCTCAGTTCAGTGTATCCTACCACCCCACCCCCAAAAATGTCTATGAAAATGTGAGCCCAAATTCAGGACCTGGAAACTTAGTCCATTCCTGTCATCTCCTGTAGGCCTATAGACTTTCAGCTCTCTTGGCGCTCGCGCTCTCTCTCTCTCTCTGTGTGTGTGTGTGTGTGTGTGTGTGTGTGTGTGTTCAGCTCTCTTAGCTTTCTCTCTCTGTCTCTCTATATGTCTCTGTCTCTGTCTCTGTCTCTCTCTCTCTCTGTCTCTCTCTCTCTCTCTCTCTCTCTCTCTCTCTCTCTCTCTCTCTCTCTCTCTCGTGTGTGTGTTTGGGGGGAGGGGCTAGGAAAGTGCTCTATCAGAGTTGAATCTCCAGCCTACCTACCTGTTTCTCCTACCACAGACATGTGAGCTATGCCAATGTGAACCTAGTCCATGAAGCCCAAAAGCTTAACAAATCCTTAGGACTACTCACCCTGATCACCTGGTGTCTTTGTTAGGGTTCCTATTGCCATGAAGAGACACCATGACCATGTCAATTCTTAAAAAGGAAAACATTTCATTGGGGCAGGCTTACAGTTCAGAGATTTAGTCCATTATTGTCATGGCAGGAATCATGGAGGCAGACATGGTGCTGGAGCGGTAGCTGAGAGTTCTGTATCCACAGGCAGCAGGAAGTGACAGTGACAGACTTGCCAGGCTTGAGCTTCTGAGGCCTCAAAGCCCATCCCCTAGTGACACACTTCCTCCAACAAAGCCACATCTACTTCCAACAAGGCCACTCTTTCTAATAGTGCCACTCCCTATGGGCATATGGGAGCTTATTTTTATTCAAACCACCAGACCTGGTCTCATCTCACATTGACTCCTGGTCACCAGAAAAAGATGAAATTCCTGACTGGGTTGGATCCTAGTGACCATGGTGCATTTTTTTTTTTATGCCCTGGAACACTAGGCTTTACCTCTGGTCTGCAGATGTTGTAACATTCTGCAACATCCTAACAAAAAGTAGAAGCAAGGTGATGTGAGTACAGACTACTAAACCACGTCCATTCAGGAGAATCCCCACCATCTTTGAGCATCCCTAGAAGAAAATGCAGACAGCTCCTAGACTTAAGGGAAAGAAAGCTAAAAATGGCAGAAACCATGGGGTTTCTGCAAATCCATACTGCCAGGTATCAGAAGTCCCAGGGGAAAGGCAGTAAATTGCCCTGTCTACCAGTTATACCCAAGCCTTGGCACAGGGCAGGTTGCCCAGTCATAAACTGTTGCTATGGGAATAAAGGCAGGAGAGAGGTATCCAGAGATCACCTTACCAGGTCCCACTCATCTTTCAAGTCTGCCATTTCAAACCATTAACTGTAAGAATGAGAAAGGACTGAACCTGAAAAGTAGAAACAGTACAATGTGAAGGGTA